TTTGCTGTAAACATTTTCACAATAAACATCTTTGCGACAAACATTTTCGCTGCATAACTAATTGGTGAACAGCAAAAATGCTTTTGCAGCAAAGATAACTATGGCAAAGATGCTTATAAGGAAGCGTAAGGGAGCTACCTGCCGATCCCGCGTGGGTGGCTTTCCCCCCTCATTCAGCAGGTCACAATCTGCATATTCTTAATTCAATACACCAGCTCTGGCTTCTCAATACACTCCCTTATCCCCTTTAGCTAAAAATTTACTTTAAAATTCCTATCACTTCAGCTTCATAAATACTTCTTGAGTTCATCCACTTCACACCATGGTCTCTTGCCTGGCTACTATAATAACACCCTTGCTGGCCTTTCTACAACCATTATCACCACCCTCCAGGCCTTTGTTAGGTTCTCTGTTCTCACACACTCTGCGCTTCTTCTTGGTAGGTCCTACAATACAGGCATGCCTCGGAGATATTGCAGGCTCAGCTTCAGCCTACCGCAATAAAGCAAATACCGAGTCTCATGAATTTTTCGGTTTCCTAGTGCATATACAAGTTATGTTGCACTTTTCTGGGACTTTGAGAAGTGCAGGTGACAGAATGCATTTTATGAACATTTTCGGCTTGAGGGAATGTTGTGACTGGTTTGTTCTTCTATCCAGACCACTAAAACTTTCTCCACATCAGCAATAAGGCTGTTTCACTTTCTTATCATTCATGTGTTCACTGGAGTAGAACTTTCAATTTCCTTCAAGAACTTTTCCTTTGCATTCACAACTTGGCTAACTGTTTGGTACAAGAGGCCTAGCTTTCATTCTCTCTCAGCTTTCGACATGCCTTTCTCACTAAGCTTAATCATTTCTTGCTTTTGATCTAAAGTGAGATGTGCAACTCTTCCTTTCACTTGAACACTTAGAGGCCATTGTAGGGTTATTAATTGGTCTAATTTCAATATTGTTGTGTCTTAGGGAATAGGGAAGCCCAAGGAGAGGGAGAGAGATGGGGAACGGCCAGCCAGTGGAGCAGCCAGAACACACACATTTATTGATTAAGTTTGCCGTCTTATATGGGTGTGGTTCATGGCACCCCAAAATAATTACAATAGTAACATCAAAGATCACTGATTCCAGATCACCATAACAAATATAACAATAATGAAGTAGTTTCAAATATCACAAGAATTACCAAAATGTGACACAGAGACACAAAGTGAGCCTGTCGGAAAAATGGCGCCAATAGACTTGCTCAATGGAGGGTTGCCACAAACCTTTAATTTGTCAAAAATGCAATATCTGCGAAGCACAATAAAGCGAAGTGCAGTAAAAACAAGGTATGCCTGTAATTATAATTCACCAACTAATTACCTAATTCCATCTTTAATGTCGGCCTGCACCTCAGAACTGCATGCTCCATCAGGTCAGGACTCCGGGATGTCTCACTAACTGCTCTGGTCTGGGTTCCTGGCCACACATATGGCCCACATGAAAACATTCCCCCCTCTCCTCACATATCTAAATCCTTCCCACCCTTTATGGCCCAGCGCCTGTGTTTGCTCCTCTCTCTGTTCTCCCAAAACTACTGCCATCATCATTACACCACTCACCATGTACTGCCTTGCATCATGACGTACTGTCTGGGTATGTCACATCTTCCACAGAGAATATAAGCTCTAGAGGACAGAAAGAGTAAAACAGACATAAAATGTTTCCCAAGTGTTTTTGTTTTTTGTTTTTTTTTAATTTATTTTTTCCCCCAAAGCCCCAGTAGATAGTTGTATGTCATAGCTGCACATCCTTCTAGTTGCTGTATGTGGGACGCGGTCTCAGCATGGCCGGAGAAGCGGTGCAGCGGTGCGCGCCCGGGACCCCAACCCGGGCCGCCAGCAGCTGAGCGGGCGCACTTAACCGCTAAGCCACGGGGCCGGCCCCCAAGTGTTTTTAATGCTAGAAAATATTTCCGCAATTATCTTAACACTGATTTTGCATTCTCCAATGCATTTAGCATACTAACAAAATTAAGAGTATGGTGAACTGAATTAAAGCTTACAACCAACTTTTAAGATGTTCTTGTGTGTGTGGGGTGGGGGGAGATCAGCCCTGAGCTAGCATCCATACCAATCCTCCTCTTTTTGCTGAGGAAGACCGGCCCTGAGCTAACATCTATTGCCAATCCTCCTCCTCCTTTTTTTCCCTTTTTCTCCCCAAAGCCCCAGTAGATAGTTGTATGTCATAGTTGCACATCCTTCTAGTTGCTGTATGTGGGACGCGGCCTCAGCATGCCCGGACAAGCGGTGCATCAGTGCACGCCTGGGATCCGAACCCGGGCCGCCAGTAGTGGAGTGCGCACACCCAACTGTCACACCATGGGGCCCGGCCCCTTAAGATGATGTTCTTAACACTTGTCTTGTTGACTCAAAACAATCAGTAGCTAAAAAGACGGAAAACTTAGGCATAGTCCATCTCTAATTTGCTAAAAGATTGACGGAAAAATCATTTCTCCTCTCCCTCTCTGTACTCTAGTTTCCTTCACAGTGAGACCAGCATTCACATTCAGACATAACTCTAATCTTGTAAACACAATAGTAACCCTTGATTTTCATTCTCAGCAATCCCCATAGAAGAATGTTGTGAACATAAATGACATTCCAAATACTTAAACTTTATCAAAATGTTTAAAAAATTCAAATAAATATTAAGCGCAAAAAGCTTTAATGTAAAGCATCTTCCTAAAGTCTAACGAAAAGTTTTACCAATAGGCTTAAGGTAGATTTTCAATTGGCTCATGAAAATAATTTGAGATTATTTAGCTGTATCACTTGCATAACAAATAGTAGGCACTAGGGCCAGCCCCGGTGGCCTAGTGGTTAAGTTCAGCTCACTCCACTTCGGCGGCCCAGATTCAGTTCTCAGGCACGGACTTACACCACTTGTCTGTCAGTGGCCATGCTGCAGCAGTGGCTCACATACCAAAAAAAAAAAAAGAGGAAGATTGGCAACAGATGTTAGCTCAGGGTGAATCTTCCTCAGCAAAAAAAAAAAATACTAGGCACCAAATAGTATCTGATTAACAATTATTATTCAGTCCAAGGCCCTCATGATAAACCTAGGGCCTAGACAGCTAATCTTGCCACCACAGGCTACTCACTGCCAACAGAATCAAACTCAAAATCCATGCTTGGCATTTAAGGCCCTCTACAATCTGAACCCAACTTCTTCCAGGCTTATCTTCCATTACCTTCCCCATGAAGCACGTATCACCCCAGATTTTCCCAGGTGCCTAACATACCAAGTACTACCACCCAGCTTATTCTTTGCTCCCACTCTTAAAATCCGCTATGAATTCGCCCACCAAATTTCTCCCCATCTACCTATGGCAAATGCCACCTCTTCTGTGAAGCCTTTCCTGGTTCCCTTTAGGAAGTAATCCCATTCCCTCTACTTCCATTTGCTCTTAGTCTGTACTTACTTCTTTTACAACACTTACCAGAGACCGCCTCATATTATAGCCAAGTGTGCACAGGTCTAACTCCTCCACTAGATTATTAGCTCCTTGATGACATGGGTAGACTCACAGTCATTTCTGTATCCTTCACAGCCCCTGGTAGAGCATCCTGCACACAGTAGGTGGTCAATAAATATTTACTGTCTCATCAATGGTATATGTTTCTATGTTGCTACTGTACATTTCCCTCCTACATATATCCACAACAGATTTGCACTTTCAAAACCAGACAAAAAACAGGCCTTTTCACTGATTCATGCAAGTTTAATGAGCCTCTACATGTAGGGCTCTGTTGCAGGCCCTGTGGACTCAAAGATGAGTAAGACACACAGCCTGCAGGACTCAAGGAACTCAGAATCCACATAGAAATACATTTTTTTAAAAATCATATAATGCAATAAACACAAGAGATATGCACAGAGTCTAGGGGAACAGAAAGGAGTGTGCTGTACCTAGAGGTGGGCAACCGTCAGGTTCACTAACACTCTCGTACCATGTCTAACAGTTGAACATTCACTACTAGATCCTCGTGGATCTTTCTAGAGACAAAATATCTGAAAACACTGATTATGAAACTGACCTATTAAAGGCATAGTCAGGCTGTGTTGTGGATGCAAACTTTAATTCAAAAGTCAAGGAATTCACTGCAACTGGAAAAGTAATTACTTTCTGCATCTGCCTACTCCTAGGTTGCTGTTTGGAAGAAGGGAAACCGAGGGAGCTGTTTTGAATAGTTTACACGTCCAGGAACATCAGTCTATGTAGCAAGAGGTTGCAAAGTGTGACTACATGTTTATTAAGAACACCCTCCTTCCCCCAGTTGACTCTGCAGGCCGCTCACCTTCGTCCCGCAACTGACCCACAATTGCGTGTTTCCCTGTTTGCATCTCGCGCCAGACTGCGAGCCCCACGCGGCAAGCTGTCCTCGGAGACCCGCTGGGCCTCAGGCCTGGACCATCGCATGCGCTCCACAAATGAATGAAAGGCCTCATTTTTCACTTTTATTTATTTGCGGGATCTGGGCCTAGGGTCGCTTTTTGGCCCTTAGCTGCCGATCTGAAGAGGGGCTCCCCGATGCTAACTCCTAGGTGCCTTTCGCCCCAGCCCCGGACTCCAGCCCCGTTTAAATCCAGACGCTCGGAAACACTCCCTCTTCCAACGCCCCCAAGGTGCCCTTTTTACCTATAAAAGGCTCTCGGGCCGTGAAGTCGCCGTCAGAGTAAAGCCAGACTTATACTGCAGCCGCCAAGAGCTTAGGGCCGCCCGCGCCTCCGGAACAGGAAACCGAGGCCATTAAAAAGCAAACCTGAGAAAGCTGGACTACGGGAGAGAAAGCTCCGGGGCTTGCCGCAGCGCCTTGTGCGCGGTGATTGGCGAGTCAATAAGAGTGATTGGGCGTCTAAGCCAATAGCCCTCCTCAGACCCTCCGGCGCCACGCCCCCTGCCCTCTACCTCCTCCAATCCGGAACCGCAACCGGGTGAGCGCGCGTTTACCCCCGGGAAGGACGGTGGGGCTGGCGCTCTGGCGGTTCGGAGTCCTCCCCGAGCGCCTCCCGCTCGCCGGGACGCTGCCGAGCGCGAAGACATGAGCGACTCTGCGGGAGAGCCCACTCGGCTCCGGCGCTACCCTGAGCTCCCGGTGTGGGTGGTGGAGGATCATCAGGAGGTGAGCGGGCGGCTGCCGGGCGCGGGGCCTGAATCGCGCGAGAGCCAAGGAGGCGGTGGAGCCTCGGCTCCCGGGCCGGAGAGAGAGCCAGAATTTGTTATCCCCGCGATTTCCATTGCTGAGGGGAAAGCACCCGAACGGCTAACTTGGAATAATAGACGCTGACTCTGCGTGCGGCAACTCATTGAACCCTCACGGTTTGCCCCAAATTCCAGCCAACAACTGATGGCGTTGGGATTCGAACCCGGGCAGTCTGACTGCTCCTTAGCGCTGGCTTCCAACTGTCTCCATCACAGTCCTGCTGTGCAGCTGGGAGGCTTTGGTTAAGAATGTGAGCTGTCGTCTGTGAAATGGGAAGAATCGTGGTAGCACTCTTAGGGCCGTTAGGAGTATTATTGTGTGCATAGTGTGTGCATAAATCGTTTTAACACGGTGCCCTGCATTTATAAACACTGAAGATATTTTTTATATTTATGGCAGTGCTACTTTAGAGTGGCTAAAATGGTACTGTAATCTAGACTTGCGGAAGCCTACCAGGGAGGCCCATGGATCTAAGACTTTTTCTTTTAGGTAGCATTAATAGGCCTTGGGAGTTTTCTGGATATGAAAGAGAAAGAGTGATTCCAGATTTATGGATGCAGAAAGTTAGGAGGAGAGGAAGAAAGTTGGGTTTCTCAGGATCTCGAAATAGTGTGTATGGGCCTCAGGGAAAGAGCAAGTGTGGGTTAGGCGGTGCTTTCAAATTCTGTTTTAAACCTAGAACTATAGAGACTGTACAGGACGAAGAGCCTTACAGACTGCCTAGCCCAGCCCCACCATCCTAAGATATGGAAAAGGCCCCAAGACCCAGGGTAGCTTGAACACATAGTTAATGCCAGAACACGTGTTAACTAACAGTTGTTTCCTGAGCGCCAGCCCCTGTCTGTTTCCCCACGTTATTTGTTGAGTTTGTGGTGGGGGCAAGATGGCAGCAAGAGATGCCCATTCAAGTCTTTGGAGGTGCAAGCTGGAAGTTCTGAGGAAGCTTGAGATGATTATCTAAGCCATCTACGATGAACAGATTTTATATTTTCCTAATTTTTAACAACTTGGTGTGCTTCAAATTATGTGCGGTTATGTTTAGCGTTGTTTTCCAGTCTGCAGTTGAGTGTATGCTCATGATATCAGTGCCATTTCTGAATGTGTGCATGTCTCTTACAGGTTCTGCCTTTTATATATCGGGCCATCGGCTCAAAGCATCTTCCTGCCAGTAATATAAGTTTTGTGCATTTTGATTCGCATCCAGACCTCCTTATTCCTGTGAATATGCCAGCAGACACTGTGTTTGATAAGGAAACACTTTTCGGGTAATGTGTGATTTTGTTAATGATCTTTTATGTGCTTGAAATACAGTTTGCAGTAGATGATAAGCAATTAAGGGAAATAGACTTTGCTGAACTCATGAGTTTTGTTTTTGTTTTGTTTTCCTTTTTTATTTTATTTAGAGCAAGTGTTGACAAACTTTTCCTTAAAGAGCCAGGTAGTAAATATTTTAGGCTTTCTGGCCATGTAGTCTCTGTTGCAACTACTTATCTCTGCCCTTGTAGTGTGAAAGCAGCCATAGACACCACGTAAACAAATGATTGTGGCTGTGTTCCAGTAAAACTCTATTTACAAAAACAGGCGGCCCAACCAATGTTTGCCAACCTCTGCTGTAGAATATAGAATTTTAGAAGTAAGAGAGACTTTAGAAGTTATCTAAACCAGTTCTCCCTTCCTTTCCCCTTTAAAAGTCTGGATACTGAGGCACAAGAAAATCTGTCTTAAACACATAGTTCAATAATTATATAGGCAACACAACTTTAATTTGTATATCCTTCCTTCCAGTATTGAGTCCTTCGAACCTCCCAATTTGTTTATTTTCAGGTCACAAATCCTACTGATTTTCAGTTATATAGAATCTTAGAGATGGAAGTGAAATTGGTAATTTGTACACCATTCTTCAGAAAGGATCATACCTAATGTATCTCTAAAAAATTACTTACTAGCCTCTCTTCTGTAATAAAGTTCCCTGAAGTTCTGTCACTGTCTCTTTATGTACGTATTTGTTAGAATGTAGCCTACTCGTACAATATAAAAAGTTACACAGCAGTAATTTTCCTGTTATAATATAAAATTAAAAGATAGATGCTAGTGTGAATTAATTTTAGTCTACTTTTCTTTTAATTGACTTTTTCCAAAACCCAAATTCAGAGCACTAATTTCTAAAGAAATGTGGCAGCTCTACCATTGTCCTTACTCTCTTTTATATTTAGAGGTTTTATATTTTAGAAATTGAAAAGAATTATGAAGCAGGTATGCACACTGTACAGTTAGTCATAGAATAATAGTTCTTAAACTTTTTTTGTCTCAGGATTCCTGTACTCCCTTAAAAATTATTGAGCTTTTTTTAATGTGGTTTATGTCTATTGGTATTTACCATATTTGAAATTAAACTCAGAAATGTTTAGAGTATTAATTCATTTCAAAATAATAATAGACCTTTATATTTGTTAGCATAAAAAAGATATTTTTGTGAAAAACAAAGATTTTCTAAAGCAAAAAAAAAATTGTGAGAAGAGTTAACAATGTTTAAATTTTTACAGATCTCTTTAATATTTGCTTTTATAGAAGACAGCTGGATTCTCAAATGTGCTTCTGCCTTCAGTTTGTTGCCATATGTTGTTTTGGTAGAAGTATATGAAGAAAATTCAGGAAGAGTATTTTTGTAGCTTTTTCAGATAATTGTGAATATTCTTTAATACTGTACCAAAACTTGGTAAGTGGTAGTTTCTTAAAGCTTAGTTGGAATGTAGAATCAAACAATTCAAAATCAAGTTGAAATAACCATGGTTTGTTAATCTGTCTTTCTTTCAAGGAAAATGGTGTTCGGCTTGCAATTTAATCATAAGTGCTTTTCCTTGAGACAACCATTGTACTTCCAAGTATGTAGCAGAAGTGCTTTCTGTGCACTTCTGATTTTGCCACACAGGATATTTAAAAACGTGTACTCAAGATCAAGGTTTAATAAAATCATAAAGGACATTCTTATGTGAAACTGTTTTGCCGGGGGAGGTGGCACTAGTGCTTGTTACTGCCGGTAGAGTTTGGTGCCGTTGCTTTGATTAATCTTGGGACATCAACCCACCATTGCTTTGCACCATCACACCAAATGTGAATGCAATAAAAAAGGGAAATAATGCCTTAGTGTTATTAGGAAAATTGTTTTGAACTAGTGGTCACTCTGAAGAGGTCTCAGGAAACCCCGAAGGGTCCTTGGACTACACTTTGAGACCTGCCATCTTAAAATATTGTTGTGGATAAAATTACATTTGGAAAAAAACACTCACTAATAGTTTTCATGCTTTCTCTCTATTTCTTTTCCAGAGAATTAAGTATTGAGAATTGGATTATGCCTGCAGTTTATGCTGGCCATTTTTCTCATGTAATATGGCTTCATCCCATATGGGCTCAGCAAATCAGAGAGGGCAAACATCACTTTTTAGTAGGCAAAGACACTTCCACCACAACAATCAGGTAATTTCCTCACATTTATGACTATGAAAGGGGTTGAATGCTTCTGTCTTGTTTTGGATTCCTGTAGTAACATAAGTTTCTCTACACCCAAATGGTGTCAGAGTAAGCCTCAGCTCTTCAAAAAAGACTTCTCAGAAGACTAGGAACAAGTTTTCGTGTCTCTTGACCCTCTTCACAGACCATTTATATTTTGTTGCTAGTCAAATTGGTTTTTGAATAACATGATCTTCACCCTTTGGAATTCTGGCTTTATTGATGACTAAATCCATTAATTCATTGAAGCACCTTATAGATTTGTATATTTAATAATATATTTTATTATTTCCTGTCAATGTAACTATTGTCTGCTGAATTTCACAATTAGTAGTGAAAAAGCAAATTTATCTCACTTTGGTTTTTTAATAAATCCAATGGCTGAAAAATAGATTTGGGGTTTTAATTTTATTAATATGATTAGCTTTAGATAATTACTTAAATTACAGCATCCTCTGACTTGTTACATGTGCAACTATTTTTGTTATATAAGCTATTTAACCAATGTTTTGTGTAACTTGTGATTCTATAATATCTTTAGATATATCAGAATGTTCTTATTTTTCTAAATTCTCTTATGATGGGATGAATGTTTTTAAGCAGTGGAACCATAACTTTCTAGAACCTGAAAGACAGTGGGATGAAATGGTAATAGATTGAAAATGAAATACAGTCTTTCTCATTGAAAATGATACTTTTTATTTCTGATTTGTCCTTAATGATTCAATTAACTTTTGCTGCATGTTCTTATCGATTGCACAAATATCTTTGTCGTATATACATGAAGATTGTCTTTATTGAGGACATAGTACAAAATAAATAATAGGGCTCTAATATAATAAATATTAATAAATATTTTCCATAATACTGGTATATGTGAAAGTGTCAGAGTTTTTATTGAGTACTTCAGTGAGTAGGCTTAATTTAACCTGTAATAGATTTCTGAAAAATCAAATAATTTTGAGCAATCTGAAACAGACTTTGAAACTCAATGTGTAATAACAAGAAGATTTTGGGCCGGCCCCGTGCCTTAGCAGTTAAGTGCGCGTGCTCCGCTGCTGGCGGCCCGGGTTTGGATCCCGGGCGCGCAACGATGCACCGCTTCTCCGGCCATGCTGAGGCCGCGTCCCATAACAGCAACTAGAAGGATGTGCAGCTATGACATACAACTATCTATTGGGGCTTTGGGGGGAAAATAAATAAATAAATAAAATCTTTAAGAAGATTTTGATTATCTCATGATTTTAGTTAATCCTGCAAGTAAAAATTTATGGAAGAGAGACATACCTGTAGGTTTGCAGTCTGAGATGTATGTATGTCTTTGTACAGATATGAACAAAGTAAAACATCCCTTATTAAAGAAGATACAAATTTAGGTTGGGGATACAGCCTTTGTCTTCCTTGGGATGGTACAGTTTTTAATAAGCCTGTACATTAGTTTTATTGTGTTGTTAATCTTTTTTGGAAAATTTTATCTTTTTAAATTTAAGGCTGTATATGCTGGAGGAGGGTGGGTGGGAAATAAATATTAACCTTATTTTAGTTGGATAGAGCCTGCCTCTGGAAGAAGCATTTGGTTTTGCTATTCAAAGTACTTACCAAGGCCTAATATAGTTAAAAAGCTAAGAACATACTGATAAGTCTAAAATCAGAAATCTGAAACTTGTGAAATGCATTCTGCACATGTACAAGATTTTTTTTGTTACTTTTCATATTAAAATATTATGGTTATATAAAGTTTAACAAAGTTTGAAATATGTCAGAGGGAGCTTCTATTAGGAGAAATTATTTCCAGAAATAATTTTTCTAAGTGATTTTTTCGATAAAGTTTCAGCTGGTAGGAGAGAGATCCAAAGCACCAGCTTAGACAGGATCGTTTATTACTTTCTCATATTAGAGTTTACTTTACCACAACCAGTCCAGGGCCTGTGTGGCAGCTCTGCAGTTTGGGAAACCCCAGTTCCTTCTATCTTTTTGCTCCACCATCTCTAAAGAGTATTACATTTGTCCTCATGGTCCAACGTGGGCTTGCCACTTCCATGTTCCTATGCCAGTCAGTGGGGAGGGGAGAGCAAGGCTCTGTACACTTCTCTTCCATTCACAGCCTTTGGCCAGAACTTAGTCACATGGCCACACCTAGCTGCTAGGTAGACTATGCAATATAGTCTTTACTTTGGGCAGTTGTGTGCCCAGCTAAAAATTTGGGGAACACTATTTCTACAGAAGAACAGGAAGTACAAATATCAGAAACGGCTCTCAGTTTCTATCAAATATGTCCTTTCTTATATTTCTGCAATGCTATGGAAATGCTATATGAAATGTCAGCTGATTTATCCTTTCATCTTTAAAAGAATTTTTTCCTCTGATCCAGGGTTACAAGTACAGATCATTACTTCCTAAGTGACGGTCTTTATGTAACTGAAGACCAGCTAGAGAACCAAAAACCTTTACAATTGGATGTAATTATGGTAAAACCTTATAAACTCAGTAACAATCAAGAAGAAAATAATGCAGTGTCTTCTGCTAAGAAGCCAAAGCTAGCAGTGGAAGACACGGAAAGCACTGCCTCTACTAACTGTGACTCTTATTCGGAAGGACTGGAAAAGGATACAGTGACACAGAGAAGGAGCCAGACTTGCCTAGAACCATCATGTTCATGTTCTTCTGAAAGCCAGGAATGCCAGACTACAGTCAGCACTGGGGAAATTCTGGAAATTTTGAAGAAAGGGGATGCATTTGTTTTAGATATTGACTTAGATTTTTTTTCAGTCAAGAATCCCTTCAAAGAAATGTTCACTCAGGTAAATGTAGTATTTTTAAAATGTAGATCTTGAGAGTTATATGACATTTCTCTAGATCAGGGATCAGCAAACTTCCTGCAAACAGTCAGATAGTAGTTACTTTATTCGGGGGGCCCCGTGTGGTCTCTGTCACGTCGTCGTCTTTGTTGTTGGGTTTTTTTTAAACCCTTTAAAGTTGTAACACCGTTCTTAACTTGAGGGCCATACAAAAACAGGTTGTAGGCCGTGAGTTGCTGATCCCTGCTCTAGATAATATTCATTATTTTGTATTTATTAATTGGGGTAATGTGTACAGGGATTATTGAAAAAAATAAAATCGTATGGTAGAAGGAAGTGTATACATTAAAGAATATCGCTCTCTTCTCATATCCCCAGTCCCTAGTTTCTTACCTCAGAAACAACTTCATGGCCAGTTGCTTGGTGTATCTTTCCAGAGATAGTCTGTGTATATAAAACCTTATGTGACAAATTTTTCACTGAACTATGAAATGAGGTACTTGATTACACATATATTATTTGTAGCTAATGATTCAGGCCTGTGATCCTTAAGGTAATTCATCAGCTCTTAAATGCAAATCACCAGACAATATTAGTATGCACAGATCTGAGATAGAACTATGCATTTAAGAAACTGATAAACTTAACGATCCAAGTGAGCATTCCTAGGTGCATTTTATGGGCACATGTAACTACTTACTTTAACATTCCTGGTCTACTCTTTTAGGGATTCAAATTAACTGTCTTCTAAGTTCAGTATTTGCTTTATAATGGTGATGTTGCACTTTACAATCCTTCTTCTGTATATTGTGATTTATCTAAATTATCAAAGACCTCTAGTAGGTACTGATTAAAAATAGTGAGATTTGAGATTTAGTGTAATCTGGAACAAGAATGAGGACCTACGGTGCTCTCCCAACTTGCAAATAAGAGAGAAAAATTGCTCTCTATTTCTTTCCTGCCCTTGTACATAAAACTAGTGACTATAACCACCAACTCTCAGAATTATGAAATGACCTGAGACATTTTTAGAAAACTTGAAGAATGGGTGTACCTGGAAACTGAAGAGCCTGACTTTAGGAATTTATCCTACAAATATACTCACCAAATATTTGTAATGAAAAATTTCTGAAAGGTTCCATGAGAAAGTTAAAGGCAGTTTCTCCTTTTCCAGTGCTATCAGGAAACTGGGGAAATGGAGATTTTTGTATCCTTTATACCCTTTGGTACTATGGAACTTTTGAAAAGAGCATGTATTATACTGTATAATTTAATAGCTATTTTTTTTTAATATAGTAAAGAAAGTCAGTTGTTTACCTTTTTTAAGAGCATGTTCAGAGGTCAGAGAGAGTTAGGTTCTATTTGTTACTTCTGCTTGTTAGTCGTGTGATCTGGGAAAGTTACTTAACCTTTCTGATCCGTAGTTTCTTCCAGTATAAAATTGAAATAACCATACAGCTCACAGGATTGTTGTGATGAGGGTAGTGCCACAACATTCTAACTAATGAATTTGAGTTCTTGCATATAACCTCTTCATGACAAATCTCCTAAATAGGATTATTGGTACCAGATGTACCTACCTATAATGGGGCAGTCTGGCTGTGCTCAATCCTGCAAAGTCCTTGTGTAGCAGGATTCCTTCTTCCGTTGCATCTGCCTCCACTATTCCTTTGTACTCCAGAGTTCTCTGCTGTGCGAGGGACAGGGCTACATAGAGTGAACATGGAGAGTTTTGTTGTTGTTGTTATTAAAGATACATATATTTCTTATAAATACCTGAAGTCTGTTTAAATCCTAGGATGTGTTCATTTGTAGAGTGGAATATTATTAGAAATATTTTCATCTCATTTCCCATTAGCCATCAAGTCTTCGAAAGCAATTTTTATACGTTCTTGTCATGTCCAGATGGATGGGGTTGCCCTGAAGAAATAATATTTACAATGAATTCTGGATTATACATTTTGCAAGATTTTCCTAGACTAACCTTTAAATGATTATCTAAGATATTCTCCTTGTATCACAGCCGTTTTTCACTTAAACCATATCATTGAAAGAATTTAATTTTTTTCTAGTATATGGATTTTTTATTTTGTTTTCCAGGAGGAGTACAAAATCTTGCAAGAGCTGTACCGGTTTATAAAGCCCGGAACCAACCTGACAGAGGTATTCTCCATTTGTTTCTGTTGGGTTTTATCTATTTATCAGATATCTAATAATATCTTACAGCTTATTAGAATGCTGTCAAACAACTGTCCAAAATCTTTGTGTGTGTGTGTTTATTGGGGAAGCCCATAGTTAGTACTTGAAAATAATGTTTTAACTTATTGAACTGAGATTTTTATTGTGATGGGATTTTACTTGTTTTTTGAAAGAATAACTGTATGTTCTCGGCTTTCCAATGTGTTTAAAGGAAGATTTGGTAGATTGTGTTGATGCTCGAATTCATCAATTAGAAGATTTAGAAGCTGCTTTTGCTGACTTTTGTGATCGTGATGATGAAGAAACTGTACAGAAATGGGCTTCAAACCCTGGGTAAGACCCTCAAACATTTTTCCCCCGACTGCTACATTTCAATCCTAGATATATTGCTAAATTCGCTAGATAAATTGCTTTTTAAAAATTAGTGTTAAATTTCAACACAAATTTACTAACAATACTTAGTATTTATTGAGTGTTTTCTATGTGCCCAATATAATTCTAAGTTTTTCCTTGCATTTTCTCACTATTCCTTACCACCATCTTATGGCTTCATTATTATTACGTCTGTTTTATAGATGAGGAAACTAAGGCACAGAGGTTAAGTTGCCCAAAATCACATAGTGAGTGGGTATGCTTTTAGTCATTGTGTTATAGCTGCCCCTCCTATATATAAGATGTTATGCTAGGTCTTATAGAAGATTAAAGATGAGTAAGACAGTCCCTGTTCTAAGTAGATGAGGAAAAAAAGAACTGTCAATAGAAAAGTGAATTACTAGACAGAGAAATTATAATGTGAAAACTTAACTCCTTTTAAAGATAGCCCAACTACAAGTAGCAGAGTTTATTTTCAATCTGTCCATGGCATAAGAGAGCAAGATTTGAAAGCTGGATTCTTCATCAGGTCATTTATTCAGCCAGTTCTCTCAGCCTTAACATTAGCTTCAAAATACGGAGAGAAAACTTCTTTTGGAGTGATCATCTGTTGATTTAGGAGGTAGGGTGAAGAATGCCTTTAGTATTAAAGCTAGTTTGAAAGAATATTGACATAAATAGTATAGTTACTTTTCTCTGAAATAATTCTTTAAATCATGTAAACTCAAAAGGGCAGAAAACTAAAATAAAACCACCAAATACAAACTTTTTGTCCCCCGAGAATAGGAAGACCAGAACTAACTTATTTTCAAATCGATCTCCCACAAATAGATTATTCTCCACAGTGTAAGTATAAGAAATAAGTCATAAGATAGCAGCGTAAAATGGAGAGTTAGAATCATAGTACTTTGAGCCACTAAGATTTGTCATAAAATAATTCATCAGATCTCCAGAATACAGAAGAAACTGGAATAGCAGTTGCCTCAGGAGAGAGGAATTGTATGGCTAAAAGATGAAGTATATGAGGGAGAAATATCTTCTTTTGCTATCTGTATGTATTACCTATTCAAAATATTCAGTGTAATTTTAACTTAAAATATTCAGAAACATCCCTGAAATATAAATATCTTAAAACTTCATCACTAAGGAAAGCCGTGGTGGGGAAGAATAAACCATAATAGTGTTAATCGCATTGGTAAATATTGACCAGGCACTTCAACATCAGTTAATGCTTTTTCTCTTCAGTTTAGGGAGCTAGTTCTAAAAATGATGCCCTCCTTTTTGAAATTATGATGGAAGAGGGAGATGTAGAAATAAGTCACAGAACATGATTCTTCATAGAAATGTTGAAGAGTACCTACTGTTGTGTGATTTTTGTGAAGTCTGAAGCCAAGTTTAACACTTAAAACAAAACCAAAAAAATAGCCTGAAAATCTTAGAATCCTGAATCTATCCCTAGATGGGGCCACCTTCCACTGAAGCCCACCATGCCTGCTGAGCATGCCCAGTCAGCTCTTCATCACCTGCAGGGAGTTCTGTCACAGACTTGAAGAAACAACGAGGCTGCAACAGTGATGGGTATAGACTGTGGTTGGAATTGGGAGAAAAAAATAAAACAAAGGAAAAGTGGGTGAGATAGCAAGAAGTCTCCCGAAACTTCCCATGCCCCTAAAGGGCCAGACCCTCAGCATGAAGGAGTCGTCACTATTCCTAGAAGTAGAGGAAGTGGGTGATTAGTGTCTAGAAACGCAGAAAGGGTCATTAATAAGAAGGGAGAAGTAACAGGATGAGTGGATAGACAGGCCTCCATGCCTCCCTTTTCCTTTCTTTTTTCTCTCCCAGCAGATGAGTGGACATTGGTGGAGCAGGCATTAAAATACTAGAAACATTAATTAGTCAGGGCTTCCAAAGAGTTCCACCTAAATTAGATAACTTAAAAGCACCATTGTATTATATCAAATGGTATAGAACTTTTCTGGTTTTGTATATTTCAGTAAATATGTCTTAATTTTTTTTTTTTAACTTTCGGGAAACCACTTTTTTTCATCACAGTGTGCTAAAGGCATTCAGTTTTCCTGCTGATCAAAATAATTTTTAAAGTCACAGTAGAACTTCCATTTTTAAAGAAGAGGAAAATCTCAGTTTCTTGAGTGCTAATTTTCAACCTTTAACACAATGTGTAATCTTTTAGGTAAGAAAACAGCAGGGAACATTTATTTCTTGATATTTAAAATGATATTTGAATTTATCTTTCATTTCCTAAGCATTATATGAAATATAGTGTTAATGGTAAATTTTAAGTGTAATGTATCATTTGCTACTGTAATTTTAGTTGAGGTGGGATGATGTTTAATTGAGACGTGGCTTTTTTCCAGAATGGAATCACTAGTTCCACTTGTACAGAGTTTGAAAAAACGGATGGAAGTACCAGACTATGAAATGGTAAATATTTTATATTGAAATACAAAATTGACCCTTTAGAAAGGCGTTTTTCTGAGTAGAAAAAAATGTGCTTTTTGTTAAAGTGACTCCCTTTCATCTGTGTTCCTGAGAAGTGTAAATGAATTATTTTAAAAAGAAGAAGATTCAAAAAATACTTACTTTTTAGAAGCCAGAGCACTGGAAAAATTTTCCAGAAAAAACATGCTTTTCCCAATTTTATGTATGAAGCAAAAGTGCTGTGTATTTTTTTTTTTTTACTGTGGTCAGATCTCTTCTTGCCAGAGAAAAGAAAGTGTACAATTTCTAAAGTTGTCCGTTCTTTATTGATTCTATTTTATACTCCCTTCCTCCCCTCTTTCCTCTCTTTCTGAAAACTTTTCTGGAAAACCAAACAGAAAGACTAAAGAAGGCGCTGTGGCAAGTGCATCTTAACTGTGTTAGCCATATAACGGGCTTTGTTTGCCAACAGTGACCTGAATGCTGTGGCAAAGGAGGATACCTTTAATGATCATTTCTTTTACTTTTATGTCATTTTACAGTCTTTGAAGCATAAATTTTCCCATTTGAAGTTCAAGTGCCTTTTCTCAGATTTTGTGCCAGAGCTGAGACCTCCCAGTCTTCTGCTCCTTTCACTTGTGGTGCTCCTTTTACCTCAATAAATTCTGTTTTTGCTTTAATGTTTTATTTAGTCATGGGATACAGTCAAACCAACTTACCTGAACTGAAGTTTACATGTTGATTTAATGCTAACTTTATAAGAATAAAAAATACCAGCAAAAGAATATTTTGGTTAAACCAGAGCTAATCTAAGACCCACCCTGTTTTTTAATGGCAATTATTAAGATGATAGAAGACACTTAGATTTTAAAACGCTTTGAGGGCCGGCCCCGTGGCTTAGCGGTTGGGTGAACGTGCTCCGCTGCTGGCGACCCTGGTTCGGATCCCGGGCGCGAACCAACGCACCGGCTTCTCCGGCCATGCTGGGGCCGCGTCCCGCATACAGCAACTAGAACGATGTTCAGCTATGACATACAACTATCTATTGGACCTTTGGGCGAAATAAATAAATAAACAAACAAACAGATAAATAAATAAATAACTAAACGCTTTGAGCTCATGTGACATCATCGTGTCTTCACGCAGGTCTACTTTAATCGTTACACTGCATCTGGATTTTCTGGTGGTTCGGGGAGTTGTACATTGTCGAGAGGAGGGATGGCATGGGCTCGGTCACAGGATATGCAATGAAATACGATGTGCCTATAGCTGCAGGGTTAGAACACTAAGTGTTTTGATCATTTTAATAGAAAAGAACATGCAGAATCTGTCATTTTACTACATTGATTGATCGTTGCCAGTTAAATATTTGATGTGTATCCAGAGCCCCCAATAAAATAGGTTAGTGTTTTTTTCCATGTTTTGCTCTCATGTACACTAGGCAAACTATGACATATTTGAGTTCCAGTTTTCAAAACTTTAAAGCAGCGGCTGCAGAATGTCAGCCTGTGAGCCACTTCTACCTTTCAGGCATATTTAGTTAAGTGCTAAGACTGCAACACCGGTCAATCTCATTTAAAACACATATATAGATATCAGTAATATGTGGTTACACAAGGGATACACAAGACACACTGGTAATAGTAGGTTAAATAAGGTAGGAGGAAGACTCCCTTGTATCCTCCTGAAGCTTTGAATGTCATACTAGGTGCATGTATTTAAAAAGTAAATGTGTTGAAAGAAAAGGTAAGAATATTCTGTACAGTTTTATATCAGCTTTTAGAATCTGGGTGAAATAGGTAATTTGCTAGAAAATGTGAATTATCAAAATACGCTCTAGTAAAGACAGAGACTGAATGAATCCAAAATCATGTAATAAATTAAAGAAATAGTTAAAGAATTATTCCTAAAAAAGGCATTAGGCCCAAACAGGTGTACAGGCCAGTTCTTCTAAAACTTCAGAGAATAGATAACTTCTATGGCATGGAAACTATTAAGGAAAAAACAATCCCAATCCACAAAAATATTAAAAGATTTGTCAGCAGGCATTAATGGTTAAAGAATCTTCTAAAAACAGTAAAGCCTTACAGTGTAATTGTTAATTGTCTTGCTTTCAGGTTCACCAGGCTGGTCTAACCTGTGATTATTCAGAACTTCCTCACCATATCAGCACAGCACAGGAAATTGAGTATCTTATTCAGTCTGTATATTACTTACTGAAAAATTTACCAAAACCTACTCTTGTGACGATTGCAAGGTAAGTGTGGTAGCCTAAAAAATGGCCCACCAAAGATGTCCCTGTCTTAATCTCCAGAACCTATGAATATGTTACATTGTATGGCCAGTGGGACTTTGTAGACCTGAGTAACTCAAGGATCTTGAAATGAGATTATCCTGGATTATCCAGGTGGACCCACTGTAATCACAAGGGTCCTCGTAAGAAGAAGGCAGGAGGGTCAGAATCAGAGAGACTGGGAGATGCTAGGCTGCTAGCTTGGAAAATGGAGGTTGGGGCTGCAAACTAAGGAATGCAGGCAGCCTCTAGAAGCTGGAAAAGCAAAGAAACATTCTTCCCTAAAGCCTAGAGCAGAAGTGCAGCCCTGGCAGCACCTTTATTTGAGGACTTCTGACCTCCAACAAAACTGTAAGATAATAAATTTTTGTTTCTTTAAGCCACTAAGTTTGTGGTAATGTGTTACAGCAGCAGTAGGAAATGAATACAATCTCCACGGATGAATCTAATGATTACTAATACAGTAATTGTTAGCACTTTTTTACGTACTTACTCAAAATTTAGATGTTGTATTTTCTTTTTGCTATTCGTGATAATCAGCAAACAACATACAGTGCTTGTTATCTTGTCTTTGAACTTGGTGATATTCAGGTGAACACAAGAATTCCCATTTCTGTGTCCTACAAATAAATATTTAGCTGCTGCCATGTTTTAAATTTGAACATACTAATATGCTTGAATAGTTACAATAATTTAATAAAACTTTCTTGTCTGTGTCAGTCTGTGGGCTCGTTTTGTATGGAACTGTGAGCTTCTAAAATAAGTACTTTAAATACTCAGGCAAATAATATTTATATATTTTATGACAAATATTTTGTAACATCCTTTTACCATCCTGAAACGAAATTCATAGTTAATCTAACCTACATACACACATAATTTAAATATATATAGATATTATACATAATATATATAGATATTATACATAATATATAGATAATATAATTGTCTTAGTCCATTTAGGCTGCAGTAACAAAAATACCAGACCAAGTAGCTTATAAACAACAACAATTTATTTCTCACAGTCCTGGAAGCTGGGAAGTCCAAGGTAAAGGTGCCAGCAGATTCAGTGTCTGGTGAGGACCTGCTTCCTGGTTCATAAACAGCTGTCTTCTTCCTGTAACCTCACATGGTAGAAGGGGTGAAGGGGTGATTTAGGGGCCTCTTTTATAAAGGCACTAATCTCATTCATGAGGAGTCCACCCTGGCGACCTAGTCACCTCCCAAAGGCCCCATCTTCAAATATGATCACATTGGGGATTAGGTTTCAGTGTATGAATTTTGAGGGACACAAACATTTAGTCTACAGTAATAACCCTCCTATACACATAATTTAAATATGCATTTATATATGTATACACACACAAAAAGTCATTGTAACATAAAGAAGTGAAAGTAATTGATAATAAAGTACAGTCATGTGTGCCGCATTACAGTGTTTCAGTCAACAATGGACCCCATGTGTGATGGTGGTCCCATAAGATTTAGTACCATGTAGTATATGGTAATCTTTATACTATACCATACTTTGTACCATATAGTAATCTTTAGTACCATAAGACTTAATACCATATAGCCTAGGTGTGTAGTAGTCTATATGTTTGTGTAAGTACACTCTGATGTTTGCACAACAACAAAATCGCCTACCGCCGCATTTCTCAGAACATATTCTCATCGTTAAGTGATGCGTGGTGGTATTGATATATTAAAATGCCACAGTAGACTTGCATCTTTACAAAAAGTCACTAAATGTAACAGTTACAGATGCAGACAGATACTCATGTGTTGTATTGGCTGAATACCGTGAGCAGCACTGCCATAGGGACATGGTTTTTCTGGTCATAAAACCTCATGATAAAGTTCTGAATTTAAAGTCCAGTCTTCCCTCAATTCACAGACTATTGCATTCCTAGAATATTTAACCCATTTTTAATCCATTAATTCACATTTAATCCATTTTCAAAAATACTTTGTTCATATGTAGAAGATTATTAAATTCTAGGCTCAAAAGATTAAAAACGGCCGGCCTGGTGGTGTAGCGGTTAAGTTCGCACATTCTGCCTTGGCGGCCCAGGGTTCACAGATTTGGATCCCGGGCACGGACTGACGGAGCAATTGTCAAGCCATGCTATGGCAGAGTCCCATATAAAGTGGAGAAAGATGGGCACGGATGTTAGCCCAGGGCCAGTCTTCCTCAGCAAAAAGAGGAGGATTGGCAGCAGATGTCAGCTCAGGGGTAATCTTCCTCACAAAAAAAAGATTAAAAACAGGTTTTTTTACTTATGTGAGTGCCCCGTGGACTTTGTAAAGTGTGCGGGACACAGGACAGTTTTTCATATGCACACTGCGGGACTAGCCTGCATATTGCAGGCATTCTAGCAGCCCTACCCTCTTGCCCCAGCCTCTTAATTGTCATGATGACAATCAAAAATGTATCTACAGATTTCCAAAACTCCCCTTTTGGGGGTATTTCCCATCAAGAACCACTCTAATAGTATTTTAAAGAAGCCATAAATCTTTTTGAAAGCATTGAAGTGCCCCTCGTTTGTTAAGGCTTATAAATTAAGCTTTTACATATGATTGTTTCTTAAAGTGGGTCTTTATCCATATGTATATGTTAGACAGTATTTAATAATTTAAAATAGCTCTATACCAGTTATTGTGTGTTAAATGTTTACATCAAGCCTCAGAAATAACATGATCACCAGAGAATGGAATGAGTTTGTCAGAAGTCTTACAGATTATTTCTTTAGGTCTAAAATCCTTGTTGTGATAAGGAGTAGACTAGATAACTAATTCTGTTTCCTTCTATAAAGATTTCTGTGCCACTCTTCCTGACCCATCCTGCAAATGGCTTTCCTCCCCCCAGTCCAGAACCAGGAAACACTGATCAAATCATTTCAGATCGTAATCCAGCTGTTAGTTGTCGATGACATTGTAACTGCCTGGTGCCACTCAAGTTGTAGTTGGTGATTCTAGAAGGACTCCAAGCGTACAGATTCCTCCTCCATCCCGCTGTACTCTTTTCTCCTTAATGCTACCTAGGAAAGTAATCCCAACACCAGCACATTCCCACATTTCATTTTGGATGATTCTGTACACTTGTGTAGTTAACAAATTGGTTTTAGAAGCAGAACCCTTTTATCGGTTGGAAAGCCTCTATCCTTGTAATTTCTAGCCCTACTGTACACATGATAAGAATGAGTAAGATGCCTGGTCACTCAGATAATAAGCCCCATATTCCTAAGCAGCTGCTCCATTTCAGGGACTCAGCCATCTACTGATTAAGCACTGAAGCTTTGAAGACATGCCATGTGGTTTCGAATCCTGTCACCAGCACTTACCCTACTAGCTCTGTGACCTGTGCAGATTAGTCTTTCTCTGTTTCAGATTCCTCTGAAGGGATGGTAAACGTACCTATTTCCTAGGAACATAATTCATGTAATGCGCCTGACAGAGTAAACATTTAGTAGCTTTCAACTCTTACTATTCCAGAATTCAACACACCTTCGTTTCTATTTTGTACTGAAATCAACACATGCAAGCTTTGCCTCACTGCACAGTATGGTCTCATCCTATTGGTGTGTATTTTTCTTTTTCTTTCTCTTTTTCTTCTTGGTTCCAGGTCAAGTCTGGATGATTACTGTCCTTCTGAGCAAGTTGACACCATTCAAGAAAAAGTCCTGGATGTGCTACGCTCTCTCTACGGGACTCTAGACCTTCACCTGGTGTATTCCGCAGAGTCTTCTCCATCTTAGAACAACGAAACACTGGGCTCCTGTTACATCTCGATGCAGTAACAGGGTTTCTGTTAACTTATTTGTAAATGAGTCTTCCAGAGAACACTTTGTATATTAGTTTTCAGTTGAAATCTTTCAGAAATTTTGAATCTCCAAACAGATAGCGTCAGTTGTTGAATGATGGCAGTTTTTTTGGCATCAAGTCTGCCCCCAGTTGATGGAACTGTTACATATCTACCTTTCCATCATTGTTTTCTTCACTTTCATGAGGGTTTTTTTTTCCCCTCTTTTCCTCTTTTCCCCCTACGTCAGTTGGACTGTATGGGATTCATTCACTTCATTCACTCATTCACTCAACCAGCTGACATTTATTGAGCACTTACATGTGCCAGATATAATTACGTTCTGGTTGTGTGGTGATGAACAGAATAGACGAGGCCCCTGCCCTCTTGGGGGACAACTGAGAAATAAATTGTGGGTTGTGAGAAGTGGTATGAAGGAAAAGGACAACCACAAACGTGTCTTTGGCATGCTCTTAGTACTCAGGGCACCTTGGCCTCTCAGGAAAGTAACATTCTCAAAAGCTGCTACCAAAAAAAATAAGCAAACTTGCCAGTCCATGAAATGTTGCAGGAAGTCGGTCTTTCCAGGACTGTTGGGATGGTGGCCCAGCTCTGGCCGAATGCTCTCAGCATGGCTGATATTGAGGAGGTCTATTTGAGCAAACTCAACCAAACAAAAGTTAACTTTTCTTTGCTAATCAGAAAAGCCCTTCAGGGTTTTTTGTGCCTCCAGATGGTAAGTGTGGGCATCAATTATTGTTATAGCTCCTAAGTGCCACTTTATTGGCAGTCTGGGTTGATAATTTTTTTCAAATAAACCAGCTTTTTATGTAAATAGTAGGGAAAAAAGTTAAATCCTTAATTCTGAGCTTCCATAAATACACAAGGACCTAACTGCCTTCCACCGGCCTCCCCGTGAGTAAGAGACCTTAATCCTGGGACTCTTGATCATGGAACTTTTCATTTACTTAATTTGCCAAAGTCTTCCTCTCTTCAGTATCCCTCCTGTTCAATAATCATTTTTAACAACCTACTTGATTTCTTTTTCTTTAAAAGGTAAGATGACATGTGAAGAAAAAAAAACCCATCATTCCTCAGTCCTAACACAGCATTCATTTTTATTTTTGCATGTACCTTTCAGGCCTTGACCCCATGTGTACCTGTTGAGTTGCATGTAGCTAAAATTATAGTGTGTTACCTAACTGATAGCTAATACCCCAGGTAACATTACCATTACCACTTAGTAGATGGCACTAGATCCCTTGTTTCCAGTGATTGTATTTTCCAGCAAATTTTTCTTGTCACTAGATTGATTTCCCAAGGCTCATAGTGTGAATGCTTATTTCTTTTGTGAAAAGCAAAGCAAACTGATTCAGCTTTCCATTTTGATAGAACGTTATGTGCCAAAAAGCTTTATTTCTCTGTAAAATAAGAATTGCAAAATGGCGCTATTATTTTTAAATATTTTTATTAGAGTTCTGTAATTGGATGTTACTTTTATGAGTAAATTATTTTGTGTGCTAAAAGAAATAAAAAGGTGTGTTTTAAAGATCTAAAACCAAACTGTAGCACTAATTAATTGTATATGATCTTGTGTTCATAGCATTGATCTCGAGTCTGTTTAGTGGTCATTTATTACGAGTCCCATGAACTCGGATGTGATTCATCATTGTTATAACTCAAGTAGAATAAAAGAGCATCAGTTTCCTTTTTTAGGAACACTCAAATTGCTTAGTTCTCATGCTCTGTAATTCTCTTTGAAGAATAAAATTCAGTCCCTACTTGTTTACTAAGTTGACTAGAACCAACTTAGTAAATTATGTCTCTGTGTATATCAAATAGGAAGATATTTAGTGTATCAAGAAATCCTACATTTGTGTTCTAAGTAGCAATGAGGAATACCAGGGTGCAGTGTCTCAGGTGATGTGCAAACATCACTGAAGCATGGGATTTTGAGCAGCTTTTTGAAAAATGTGACTTAAATGTAAGCTTAGGCCATAGCTTTGATAATTAACAAGTATATATTTCACAGTATCTAGGGGGAAAATTTTTTTACCTCTTTAGAAATATTTTCTGTAGACATCTGTCTTGAAGTGTTCTAGGTTCTCAAGGAGCTCCTAGTCAAAGTCCTTCACTCTAGATGATATTCTTTCCAAATCTTCCTCTTGTTTTAGCAGTAGTGGCCCTGGATTGCTGGCGTATATCCATCGTACTGCCAATGGTTTACAGTCCACAGGATGTTTCTTGGTACAGGATTATCTTATTCACCGTACATCTGAAGAGAAAGCACTGGCATGAAACTGGAGGAGTTTTGTTGAGCATGTTTCAGAAATGCTTCAGATGCATGAGGATCAGCTGTATACCTATTCATGACTGGACTGTGCCGTACCCCTGGTCACCCTGAGTCACAGCACTCCTTTCTGCTGGTTTCTGAGCTCTCTGGTCCTGGAAGCCTCCGTGGTTTTGTAGTTCTGCTTGCACTCCTGGGATTCCAAACATCAGTGCCCTCCTCTCCCTTTATTCTCCTTTGAATTCGACAAATGCAGTTACAGTGACTAAGGAGGTTTCTGTGAACCTTGATTCTTAGGAGAGAGTTCTCTGAACAGTGAATATTCTGGTCACTCACTGGAAGGGTATATCTTACCATTGCAAATTAGTAAGTTAGCATTCTATACATCAGTATCTTGTGAGTTTGGTTCCTGTGATTCAGAAGCAGGAGCCCATTGCAGAGGCTGAGGCTGCACGATTTCACTTCCTTTGAAGACCTTCCTTGTTGAATAGTCAGCCAGCCTTCAGCTACAGAATTCCTACCATGTCGAACTTCAAATTGCTCTTCAATAGCAAGCCAGTCTCTGAAGCCTATCAGTCAGCCATCAGCACTGTTCAGAAGCCCTAGCACCCCAGTTGCAAATCATGCCAAGACTGAGACAAGAAATGTCGTGACGTGACTGAAATATATTAGAGCACGGTGGTAGGCGTGTGAGCCTCAGAGGGCTACTGCTTGGCTCCAGTGTCCCCTTCTCCATGTCCCAGGTGTGTAACCTCCCTAAGCCTCAGCTTCCCATTTTACAGTAAGAGAACTTAGCTCATCGGGATATTGTGAGGAATAACACATATAAAGCCCTTAGCCAAAGAACCATTCAGTAAACATTGGCTGTTATTTCCAAACTCAGCCCTACTTAGAATATCCTGTGATGGCTACTCAGTGTCTCAACTGCTCTTCTCATGCCTCTCCTAAGTACTCATTTTTTAAACCCCACATTAGCTTCCACTGTATTTCTGTGTATAATGCAATTTTAATTTCTTTATTCAAAGAAGGCAGGTCCTTGCCCATAAGGGAAGAAGTAACAGAGGGTTTTAAAGCAGAGTTACTCGTAATTTAAAACTTTTGTCTTGCAATTGGTGCGAGCATCCATTTATTCAGTTTTAAGACTTGCACTCATGTACAGTCGAGCGGAGCAGGGAAGACAAAGCCTGCCCCAGCGTTTTTTCCTCCTTGCACTTTCCCTCCTGCCTGCTTGTAGATGAAGCTAGAATTTGTGATGCTAAACCTCTGATATAGGCAGTGTTGGGAAATTGCTACCCCCTGGACTTACAAATTACCTTCATAGAATCTAGGGTTATCCTTACCATTTCTGACATTGCTGATCTATAGGTGACCTCGAGCAAAAAAATCCCTCGTGAATCAGCCAGAGCACGACAGGGAAGTGTGAGCAGAGTGTCTCCAATCAGTTCACTATTATTTCCAACCCCTTACAAGCATTTCCTTCACCAGGGCCTCAGCCCCACAGAGCAACCACCAGTTGTTGAGCGTTAAGGAAAATGGAGTCCTTAGAGAAAGGGGGAACGCCGCTGTCAGCTTGGCTGATAAGGTAATGTGGCAGCCCATGAGACATGACCCTGATGGCTCAAGGTTGGAGAGAGAGGGCTGAAGTCAGAGTTGAAGCTAGGCTTGAATGCCAGCTTTTTGGACAGAAACTGCCCTGAGAACTGCACAGCAGCGCCATCCACCCTCTGCGGCATTGCCCCATCCGGAGGAGGTAATGAATGGCACCATCACCACCAAGTGGCCCCTGAGGTATTGGTGGCTTTGAAATCAGTCCAAGTTCAAATTACTACCTCTGCCAGTTACAAGTTATGTGAACTCGGCAACTTAACCTGTCAGAGTCCCTTGTTTGAGACATGGTTAAAGGCCCTCCCTGTGTTCCTGGAGGACTGTCCTGTGCTTCAGTCTTGCACGTTAGTTAGCTGTTACATCTGCCCACCCCAGTAGACCATGAGCTCCTTGAGGGCATCATCGTACATCTTTATAGCCCAGTGTCTGGCCTAGGCCCTGTCATATCATAAGGCCTCAAAAAATGTTTAATGAATTAATGAATACAGAAAATATCAGTGGTCACTGGAAGCTTGGCAGTGATAACCTTGTTATGTGCTCTATATTATACATCCTCTTCTGAGCATGCTGTCTTTGAAAGCAAATTGAACAAATACGAGTGTTAATATAAGAACAAACATTTACCAAGGATTAGGTGTGTTAAATACGTGAGCCCAAAAGAGCTAAAAGATAATACCTAATGATTGTGTCCATAGAATAACTGTGTTATAAACAAAAGAAAAGCTAGCGTGTCAGTTTTCCAGCTATTTTGTGATCTGTACTCTTAACGGATAAAACCTGATAAGAAACACGTTCCACAATGCTTAAAGTAAGGATACCTGGTTTAAGGAGAAAAAAAAAACTAATGGCTCATATAAAATAAAAGGTTAATTCTCATTTTCGTAACATCCAAAACTTGTTTCTCCTCGGTAGGCTCTCCTCCAGGCAAGGATTCTGGGACTCGTGCTCCTTGCTTCTTTAGCTCTGCCATCCTCAACATGTGGCTTCTCAAGTTTTTCTGGAGGACATCTCCATCCTACCTAACAGAAGGCAGAGGATGGAGGATCATGTGCAGGAGGTTATTGTGTGCTGGGTCCATCACTTCCTAACTGCAGTGGAAGCTGGGAAATTACCCTGTTGTGTGTCCAGAAAGAGGGGACTGGTTTGGCGAATACCTAGCATTCTCTCCCACAAGACCTGAATACACACTGGAATTTAATACGTAATCAGGGTGGCATTTTGTATCAATAAAGAAAGTTGAATTATTTAATAAATGATGCTGAAGAACTAGATAGCTGTCTCAAAAAAATAAAGTTGGATTCCCAATTCACTCTCTACAACAAAATAAATTACAGGTGAATCAAATTTGAATGACAAGAAAGGAAGAAAACTACTAGTAAACACAGGAGAAAAGAGAAGGTCATTTTATAAATAAGCAAGCCTGCCTGTTCAAACAAATATGGGGTTAAGACTGTGTAGTATCCACCCAAATGCAATCATCCCAAGTTTCACCATCCTATTTCTTCCCTTTCAGGGCCCTAACATTAGCATAAAACACCTGCTTTGGCTGTGCATTCGGCGTCCATAGTAGCTCTGACATTTTTATCATTGTATTCTTTTTTTTTTTTTTTCGGTTTTCAAATATATTTTATTTATTCTGTTTTCTTTTCATTTTATTTCTAATTTTTACTATACGAATTTTTCATATATACAGAAAAGTGGTAGACTAGTATAATGGACACCCACATATCCATCACTATCATTGTACTCTGAGGCTAATAGTCAGCATAGTCTGCCTTCCTGCTGCAAGAGGTGAGAGTCTAAAGTCGGCCATGCAAGCCTTCTCGCTTTCGTAATGCCCTGAGTTGATAGTTGGCTGACCTTGTGTGCCATTCTCTTTCTTCGAGGCTTCCTGGAAAGTTAGCAAAACTCAGCCACCTCTACAATCCTTCTAATGACCATTGCCCC